ATAGAAGTTGTGTTTAAAATATATAAAAATTATATACTTCATACCTAGTTATCACTAAATTTAACCCTAACCCCATCCCCAAACCTAACAAATTACTATTAAAGTAACAATATATATAAACTGACTATCATTAAATATAGATTCTTAAAAAAATACCCTTGGGTTGAAAAATTAGGTTTTCATAACAGATCCCCATGTATAATAGACTGATTCCGTCTAGAAATAAGATAGAAAATGTCTGACTAAACATTTCAGACTATTAATATAAAAACATTATAACCGATTCAGTATAAATCAATAGAACTAACAAGTCCAATCATACAAATCTGCATATTAGGAGTACCTGTTTTTCTAAATTTCCCCACCCACATTAAACAATAAAACCCTAAATGTGGTGGTCCCCCACCACTAATATTTTGAGAGGCATAAATGTAGATGAACTACATAATATGCCTCACCCAACCCTACTTTTCAATAAATTTCGCACACATAAAAGGTCATTTCATAGATCCATTATATCGAATATATAAACTATTATATAAAATAAATATGCCACCCAAAGGAATAAATCCAAAACCTCCCCCATCAAACCAAAATAAAACCAATCAAGAAAAAAAAAAGCAATAACATAAGAGAAAGACGTTTTTGCTTTACCATAAACACTAATGTGGAATAAACTTGGCATTACCTGGATCAACCAACCAAATACATAACAACCATATCTGATGGTAAAAAAAACGGTCCCACAAAAGAATCCGATCCCACACCACAACCAAACACAGAAACAGAACCAATCACGGATATAATCATTGTTCCAGACGACACAGAATCCAAAGATACCGAGATTCATTCCATTCCCGATACTACATATAAAACTTCAACAAAACCATCATCAAATCCTCATTCAATCGATTAAAATGCGACCTCACCCGATTACCAGTCCGATCCAGGCTACACCGATACCTCAAATAGACACGACAGCTTTATTAAAGACACACCCTCATCAATTTCAGGTGACCCCACAACAGAATCCGATCATTAAAACCACACACCACTTCATGAAAGATCAATTACCTTAATTGGACCCGACCTATCCCTATTGCCAAACCAAGAAAATTCATTTACGCCAAGCATACCACCACCAAACCAATTGGCAAAAAATAAAAATTTAGGTCACGCACCAATTAAGAGAACACCTTCCATAGATAACTCAGAACCGATTGAAATCGTATCACCCCATATTCATCCAACAAAATATCCTGTTGACATATTCTTATTGCTAAAAAATGAAGAAGACGAAGATCTGATACCCAATATAAACGAAAGACAAATGAAAAAAAGAGGTATCGAAACATCCAGACATCCATCACCTGAAATAGAAAATCAAGACCACACATCTCATATAACACAACCCAATCCAATAAATATTCCATCCAGGACTCCGAAATCAAAAAGTCCGGATCGACCAAACGTCGACACTGAAACCATCCATCCACAACCATTCACATTTACCTTCAATGGCAACGCTCACCAATATACAGGATCAAATGGCACAACCTATCAACTCAGTTACGAATACATAAAAGTTTTGTTATGTGCCAAATAAACAGCACCAATAACAGGTCACAAACATCTACAAGGGTACATCAAATTTAAAAACCAAATGAACGGATTTCAAGGTATCAAATCCCTACTCAAGAACAACAAAACCCATATATCTGTTGCGTTCGGTTCAAGGGAAGAAAATCTAACCTATATTAAAAAGGAAGACCATGATCCAATACAATATTACAACGAAACCTACGGTGCTGGTTCAATTTCTGATATATTTGTCAAAGGTTATGCAGAATACACCGGTTTCACTATGGATGCCATGAAAGAAGATAAAATGAAACAATTCACAAGCGTCGTATGGAAACCATGGCAACAACACATCATTGACATATGTGAAACGAAACCAAACGGAAGAAAAATATACTGGTGTTGAGAATCAGAAGGGAATGTTTGTAAATCATTCCTTACCACATACATTGTCATTACATACGATGGTATCAAATTTTCCGGAAAACTATCATACGCCGCCTTTCTCATTCAAAATATGTGTAGTAAATGAAGGTGGCATAAAGTCTTCATCTGCGATCTACCAAGACAATTTGTCAGCAATGGGTGGCACGGATACGGCGAACCAGAAGAACTCAATCAAGAAATCGTCGTATGTGCCAAATATGAAAGCAATATATTCGTTAAGCCACACTGTCACCTAATTGTTTTCGCAAACACACCACCCAATTCACAATATATGAGCAGAGAAAGGTGGAATATCATCAAAATTGACGAATTTGAAAATTACATACACCAATACGAAGGACATCTAAAAAATTATGATACATCCCAACAATAGACATACAGGGATAAAATATACACTGAATTCATGACCATATAAAGATTATAATAAAGCAGTATTCACGTGATATAAATTACGTTGATATTGCTATGTTTTTTTCCCCTTAAAAATTCATACAAAAAATAGATATTTTAATAATGTTATCTAATTTCAAATAAAAAAATAGACATGTTTTTATATATTAAATTGAACTAATTTTAGGTTCGACCTACACCATAAACCCATCACGAACGGTTGGTTCCAATTCGAGGTCAAACCCTAACACATACTTTTAATTGATAAAAAAATCTAAACCAAACGCATTTTTACTCCGAAATGAAAAATACACTTAAACGAAATTCCAAATTTAATAAAACCAATCCCCATCATCCAAATACATATTAAATTTATTCAAAATAGGTTTTGACCTTTGCATTGAACACAAATACTAAACATGTCCAATAACACTGAAGAGTTTTTCCGTTTTCATACCCCATCAACGGAATCGGAAAGGATAAACGAATTTCCATACCCACCTGCTACATTCACAACCAACCCAAAATTTATCCCGCTCACCAATAAAGACGCTGAAGAAGAACCTAATCACATTTTTATAAAAAAAACCCACCCCTACCTTCAATACCTGATCCCATCATACCGAAAAAAAAACTTGAAAATATGGCAACACCAAATCATCCACATCTTTGAACAAAACCCGCAGAATACGAAAATTTTATGGGTATGGGACCCTTATACTAAATATGGTAGATCCTTCCTATATGAATACCTATACCTGAAATAAGGCGGTATTTCATACACTGGAAACATCACAGAGTCAAAAAGTATGATGGAAAACATGATCAACTATCAGAAATCCCCTAAAGTCATGATATGCGATAGCCCAAACCCCAACAAACCCGGTAAACTATACCCCCATACGCACGAACTAAGTAACCGCATCATTTCAGGCTCCTGCTTTGTAAGAGATGTATGGGTGTTCAAACCATACACCCATAATTTCATCTTTGCGAACTTCCCACCCACGCCCATTTATAAAAATGTTTAGAAAATATTAATGATTGGTCATTACCGAATTATCAATATTTAATATATAGAACACGTTTTTTTTTTTCATTATGCTTATCTAAACATGACACTAATTTTTTTTACATATCTTATTAATAAACCCTCAATATATTACAGTATATATCTCGAATATTCAGGAATCATAAAAAATGATAACATATAATGTAAATCCGTTTGACATAATTTAACATCATAAATGATTGAAAAGTCTATTGATTTACTTCAACTTCCTTCTTTAAAGGATACGACATTTAGCCAAAATGGTTGAAAACCCCAAATATAGCTCCCATTTTCCCCCACACGAAATAGAACCATACGGAATAACATTCGAAATCAATCAGTTCACAACTATTGATTATGACCCAAACACGATTCACAAAAAGTTGACGTACGAAATTCAACCCTATAACCACATATACTTCGACACGGTGCATACACCCCACTATAAAATACCATAAAATAGATCAATTTATGAAACGCGCGTCAGAATAAATCACATTCGTTATCTCCGGTATAAATAGAACCACCTAATGTCCATTATTGAATTCATAAACAAAAACTTCGAACCCATGCACATCGATATAGACAAAGAACTACATAATCAAATCCTGGTATTTACAGAACAAAATCTAAAAATACAACAACGTAGTCTTAAATCTTTATACAATTCACAATCCTAACTTAACAAGAAATCTAAAATGTAACGCAAACTGCGTTTAATTCCATAGACCCCAACAATAGCAATAAAATACCCCACACACTAAAAAAGGATGAGTTAGAAGCGAATGACGACAACTTAAACCAATAATCCCTTATTTTACTCTATACCACTTAAAGAAATCTAAAATACTCAAATAAAAAATTAAGTACACTTTGGATTTCACCAAACAACATAAAAATCCAATATGTCCCACACCTATCCCGAGATCATGGAAATCAAATAAAGAAAATTCAATGACACACAGGCAATCAATTTTATTGAAAAATGGAAAAGTAAAGAACATAACATCGACTTGAGTTTCGATACAAATAATAAAGTCAGAAAACGACACTCATTTCCAATGCTTCAAAAATTTTACACTCAACGATTATACAACTGGGATGGACATTTAAAGTTTACACGTAAAGCAAAAATGATAGAATTCCTATATACAATTTACGTTGAAATGACAAATATACCATTGAATATTAATAAAAGCTTTTTCAATATAACCAATTTCAGCCCAGATATAATTGAATTCGTGAATGAATGCAAAATAGA